AAAAAAAAGACTAAATGGGAAAACTGATCTCAAATTTCAACCCTACATCTAACAAAACTTAAGGTGCACAGGCAATATGAGAATATGTCGGTGTGAAGTGAAATGTATATGCTTTATGTGTGTGTACCTCTCTATGTGTATCCCAAACTGAACCCCTTGCCTTACTCATAGCGATCCTGAAGGATGGAGTGTAACTACCCATTGGGCTTACAAGGCTGTAATCTTTTTTTGTTTTGTTGTTTCTTAGCTAGATGGCTGCCTGTTTGTCTTCAAGCCTTTAAGACCCCAGATGCTGTAACATTTGATAGCCGGGCACCATGAGCTTTCTTCACCACTTTTGCTAATGCACCCCCTTTGTCCTCAGAGATCGAGTAGGGGCAGGCTGGTGTGCTTCTTCTGTGTGGGTTTTGTTGTCTCTCAGCTATATAGCATCTCTGAGGAACTCAAATCATGATCCTCTGAAGTGTCCTTTGAATTTTGGGAAAACAAGTCTGAAGGGGCAAGATCCCACTTGCAGGGTGGATAGGGTAAGAATTCTCAGCACATTTGTCATCATACAGGCCTTGCTACTCCTGAAGAATAAGTATGCCATCATGTTAATTTCTTGGAACAACACTGTCCTGGTGTTTTCCTTATGAATTTGGTGTTCTATTTGCTTTAAAATCTTCATATGAAGTCCCTGTAAGCTTATTTATCTTCAGGTCTTTAAGGCTTCAGGTGCTGTATCTTTTGGTAGCTGGGCACCATCAGCTTTCTTCACCACACTTGCTTGTGCACCATTGTCTTCAGCACATCGGGTGTTATATCTTTTGGTAGCCAAGCACCATCGCTTTCTTCACCATATTTTCTTGTGCACCCATTGTCTTCAGCGATCATGCCAGGCAGGTGAGCACCTCAGACTGCCAAATTGTTAGAACAAAGTGTTCTTGTGTTGAGGGAGTAGTTGTGCAGGGGCCCACTGTCCATCTGTTTTCTTAATCCTCAACCTATAAATATATGTACATAGATCTATTTCCCCCTCATCATATATATGTTTACATCTTTATCTGCCTGTATTTACATCTCTATGACTACCCTTTGCCTCCTAGTTCTTTCCTCTATTTCTTTGTACTTTCCTCTTGTCCCACTATCATGTTCTGCCTTCATTTGGGTTTTAGGCATTCCTCTCAGTTACATTGCCCTTGATCCAGCCCTGCAAGGCCTCCCGCACCCTCCTTGACATTGATTTTGGATCACTTGTTGTTCCCTTGTCCCTGTGCTTGTTAACACCCTCTTCTCAAGGTCATATTTTGGCTCTTGTGGACTTGTTTCAATTTTCTTCAGCTTTATCCTGACTGTAAATATCAGCAATCAGTGGTCTGTTCCACACTCAGCCCCTAGTCTGGTTTTAGCTGCTGATATTCAGCTTCTCCATCATGTCTACCCACAGATGTAGTTATTTGATTTCTGTATATTCCATCTGGGGAAGTCCATGTGTATAGCCTTTTGTCTTGTTGAAATAGGTCTTTGCTATGAACAAGTTATTGATTTTGCAAAATTCTATCATGTGATCTCCAGCTTCGTTTGTTACCAAGTCCATATTTTCCAACTACTGTTCCTTTTTATTTCCAACTTTTGCATTCCAGCCACCAACAACCATCAGTGCATTGGCATTGTGTGTTTGATCAATTTCAGACTGAAGTTGTTGGTAGTATTCATCAATATCTTCACTAGTTTTATTTTTTCATCACTAGCTTTTGTAATTGGTGCATAATTTGAGTAATACTTGTTTAAATTGGATTTTTTTGAAGGAAGATAGTTATAGTCCTATCAAAAACAGCATTGTACATTCATGATGGAGCTGGCAAGATCCTGTATAACAATGGATGCCATTCCCTTTCTCTGGATTGGATTATTCCCAGCATAGTAAATCGATGATTTTCTGATTCAAAATTGCCAATACCAGTCCATTTTAGCTCACTAATGCCTAGGATATCGATCTCCTTGCACTCCATTTCATTTCTGACCACTTCCAATTTTCCTAAATTCATATTTTACAGTCCCTGTAAGCATCCTGTGTCCAAGAGAAAAATCTATCAAGATTACCTCTTGGGATTCCCAAAGAACGGTCGCCATAATCTTCCGAGCTGGATCTCTTTGCCTTGAATTTAACGAGCTCAGCAGATCCTTGTGGAAGCTACTATTTCAAATGGACCTTGTTCTCTGGATTGTAGTGGTAAATTCAAATTCCTTCCAGGTTAGGATTCATTCCATACAACTGTCTTCATTAGCTTCAATCTTGTTTATAAAACTGATGCAGAGCTCAGCTCTTGAACTAGCTGATCTTTGCACTTTTGGCACCCACGCTTCACCAAGACCAAGCCATTGGCTTAAAATGACAAATGCTAAGCCATTTGGGACCCCAACATCAATAACTAACACACCAATGGTAACTCTGTGGTCTTCTTCCCCCAGTTTCTGTACTTCACTCACAATTTCTTCATTTATTGAGGCTGACGGTTTTTCCTCTTTGGTTTATCTTTGAGGTTTTCCTGACTTTCCATAGACCACTTGATCCATCCGAAACGTGTGGAGTGTGAAGCGGCATTCCCACAAACCCTGTTGTAAAGCTTCCATGATTGGGGAAGATGTCCACTTGAGTTTTATTATGTAATATTAGCCCTGAACTCAAAATTGTTTTCTTTCCATGGCACAAAAAGTATCTTTTTTTTTTTAAGGCATGCTACAGGGACTAAAGAG